TGGGACTGTAGAGGAGGGGATACACCTAGGGCTTATGTGAAAAATCTACTCGTTGAGGAAATGGGACTCTTTTAGGAAGGGCCTCTAAGCCAGAACATTTGTACCCTATCCTCATCTGGGGCTCTCGATTCGTTTTGGGAGACCCTGACGGAGGCGAGGTTCACGCTGCCTCTGCAGTGTGGCGGTCACAAATGTCGGAACAGAACTTGCCGTGTAAACTGTACATACTTGATGCCCCAACCTTATCTCTGCTCGAAGGCTATCCCATCTCGGAAACTGTCGCCGGAATCTACTGTGTGGGATGTTCTGATTCAGTACAGAATTCGCATATGGTGCGCAAACAGTACAGTAGCCAGCAACTGTTTATATTTCGTTTTACTGTACGCGTTTGGGTCTCCAATACTCCCCTTGTGAAGAGGGTCTATAAGCGATTCTGTCATTTCGCGCACTTCGCCAGGGTCATTGCGGGCGTTTAAGTGGAACGTGTAACACCCCGTTTAAGTTAAACCACATCATTGAAGGGTGGCTATTGTTGTTTGTTATGTATTGCGCTTTTTATCACATTAGTTACCCATTTCTATAGCACCCGATTACATGAGCACTCACAAACAGGCACGAACAAGCAACACGCTCAGTTCAGCCAATCGCAGCCTTTCAGCTGCGCACTCAAAACTACACACTGTTGGAGGTTGCATGAGGCAAAATTTGCCCCCAACCACCGAATATGTTGCTTCCGATTGACTTCACTGCAGGTTTCGTTGAGTTGTAGGTTGACTTCGGAAGACCTGCAGATCGGTGCCACATGGCAGCACCTGTAACATTTGAGGACTAAAGGAACATTCGAATGTGTGAAATTCGGTTGCCGAATTTCACCACATCGAAATGTTACCCACGGAACATTCGCAACACTTCATGTAGCAACTCGATGTTACTTGTGCGATTCGACGAATTGAGTAGCTATAAATGTGTGCACTTTGTATGCACGTTTCAGACTGAAATCGAGAATCACTTTGTATGTGATACTTTCGACTACAAAATCCAGAGAGCTCCTGTCCTTGATTCCAAGAGCACTACCTAGCACATAAATGCGCATATCTCGCTCGATACTTAAGCGATCTAGGTGATCTACGGCTTGTTGGAAAGCTAACAGAGTGCTCTATTGTTTATTTCATATCCCATTTCCTGCAAACTAGAGGATAGTCCTCTAAAACAGTGGTATCAGAGCTGGTCGGAGGAGTTTACGCACGCAACAAGAAGCTAGCATGCCGACGTCAAGCGAGGCCTCCTGCACTTCCTTGGATGGTGTCGTTGTAAATTCCGGCGAACCCTGGGCAACCGCGACGATGTTCGACACGTCGGCGGTTCCGATTTTCACAGGACAAAACTACTCCGCGTGGAAGTTTAAGTTCCAAGTGCTCATGATGGAGCGGAGACTTTTGGGTTTCTTCGATGGAATAGAGAAGGAGCCGGACAACGAAAGCGACATCGCGGCATGGAAGAAGAAGGACCAAAAGGCGTTCGCTACGTTGATTTCGCGCATCGGCATCAATCTCGTGAGCTCGGTGCGCATGTGCATCAAGCTCGAAGCGTCGGCGCATGAAGCGTGGAAGCAGCTCGAGACGATGCACGTGAACAAGACTCTCCATGGCAAGATCCTAGCCCGGAATACGTTCTACACGGTGAAGATGCGTGCGGGCGAATCGATGCACGAGTATGCGACTCGTGTGGAGGAACTCGGGGAAACGTTCATGGACCTCGGTGGAACGGTCACGGAGGAGGATTAGATTTTGACCTTGCTATGCGGCCTTCCGGAAGAGTGGTCGACGATGATTACGACACTCGATAGCGTGCAAGACACTTGGACGAAGGAAATGGTGGTCAATCGGCTTCTCCATGAAGAATCGCGTCGCCGACAATTCGCTAATGAGAGCGAGGGTGCCGCCATGTTCTCCGGAGGGAATTCCGGAAAGAAGTCCATGTGGAGCAAAGGTGCGACAAATAATTCGTCCGGTGGAAGCGATCACGGCAAGGGAAACACATCGAATGGCTCGAGCAAGTGTCACTATTGTGGCAAGGCGGGACACTTTTGGCGTGAGTGTCGGAAGCGCCCGAGCGATTGGACTCCATCGAAGGCGCGGAACCACGAGGGCAACGCGCATACGGCATCCGGCGATGCGGATGATTCAAGGGAGTCGATAGTATTATTGGCCGATGACGGGACCAACACACCAAGCGACGCATGGTTCCTCGACACCGGCGCAACACAACACATGATGCACTTGGCATCGTTCCTCACCAACGTTGGTGCACCGGGGGACGTCACGCGCGTCGTCTTCGGAAACGACAAGTCTCTACCGGTGGTTGGAGTTGGGAGTACGCGCCTCATCGTCGATAGTGGACCGGTGGACATCACGAACGTGCTTCATGTCCCGGGGTTGAAGGTGAATCTCCTCTCCGTTTTGCAACTTGCGAAGAAGGGAGTTACCTTCACTATGGACGATGCGAAGATGAACCTCTTTTGGAAGGGGAAGCAATTCGCGCAAGGTGTTCTCGACGGAGAACTCTACCAACTAAAGACGCACCCGAGAGTGGCTTCATCCAACGTGGCGCAAGGTTCCAAAGCGATTCTCAAGGTGTGGCATAATCGGCTTGCGCACGCCAACTACGACTCGGTCAAGGAGTTGGCCAATAAAGGACTTGTGAAGGGATTTGACACGATCGCCGGCGACGACGAGAAGGGCGTATGCGTGACGTGTGTCGAAGGAAAAATGGCTCGCAAGCCATTTGGTAGCCGTACCTAACCCCTCGCTAAGGACCCACTTGCGCTTGTTCACATGGACGTGTGTGGACCGATGCGGCATGCATCAATGGGAGGAGCGCGGTTCCTCTTGGTGATGCTCGACGACGCGACGCGGATGTGTTGGACCCGGCACTTGAAGGCTAAGGGAGATGTGACCAAGGCGATTCAAGAGTGGGCGCTTGAAGTTTGCGACGACGACAAGAAGCGGATCAAGGCTATTCGCACCGACGGTGGCGGCGAATTCGTGAACGCGGAGCTTGAGAAATGGATGAAGAGCAAGGGCATTAAGCACGACGTCACAACACCCTACACACCCCAAAAAAATGGAGCGGCAGAGCGGCTTAATCACACGTTGGTGGAAGCCGTTCATTCACTTCTTCAACACTCCAAGCTTGGGAGCAAGTGGTGGGGTGAGATGAGTTCGTTGGCGGCGTGGATTCGCAACCGTTTGCCGATGAAGGTGCTCCCGGGAACGACTCCGTTCAAAGCATGGACCGGAACGAAGCCGAACCTATCCTGCCTACGCAACTTTGGGTGCCTTTGCTACGACCATGTACCGGATCCCCTTCGCCACAAGTTGCAACCGAAAGCTCGTGCGACAATCTACTTGGGAATTGCGGCGAACGAGCGCGCGTAGCGAGTGTGGGACTTGGGTGAAAGGCGCATCGTCACGTCTCAGGACGTGGTCTTCGATGAAGACAAGTTCTCGACGAAGGAGCAACCAACGCCGCAACTCACCGTCATCCTTCCCGCACGAGAGGAGGATGAAGCGATGGAGGTTCCATCACAAGTGGAAAAGGAAGATAAAAATGGAGGGGGAGAGAACGAGGAGAGCGATGCCGACGTGGTGGAAGTGCCATCAACCGCGGCGACAACTTCTTCAACACCTTCCTCCCTCCCATTGGCGTTGACCCGCGAGCGACGTACACGTCGCCCCAACACGAAGTACACCGACTACGCTACGGTAGCGGTTGGGGAGTTGGACGAGGAGCGTGCGGCATGTTGCTTCGCAACCTTGGGTGATGACCCTCCCACCCATACCGAGGCTTTGGCTTCTCCAGATGCGCCACTATGGAAGCAAGCGATGGAGAAAGAACTAGCCTTGATAAAAGAGAACGACGTGTTCGAGCTCGTCGACCCACCGAAGGGTGCCTACTTGGTGGGGTGCAAATTGGTGCTTAAGAAGAAGTTGGGAGCCGATGGGAGTGTCGAACGCTACAAGGCAAGGCTTGTAGCTCAAGAATACACTCAACGGGAGGGGGAGCACTATAGTGAGACCTTCGCTCCCGTCGCTAAGGCTACTACTCTTCGGGTGTTGCTCGCGCTAGCGGCATCTCTCAACCTCGAAGTGGAGCAATTGGACGTTTGCACTGCCTTCCTCTACGGGCTTCTCATGGAAGAGGTCTACATGCGGCAACCCCCGGGGTACGATGATGGTAGCGGAAGGGTATGGAAGCTCAAGCGTTTGAGCTTGCGTGTTGGAGGTTGCGTGAGGCAAAGTTTGCCCCCAACCACCGAATGTGTTGCTTTCGGTTGACTTCACTGCACGTTTCGTGGAGTTGCAAGTTGACTTTGGAAGACCTGCAGATCGGTGCCACATGGCAGAACCTGGAACATTTGAGGACTAAAGGAACATTTGAATGTGTGAAATTCGGTTGCCGAATTTCACCACATCGAAATGTTACCCACGGAACATTCGCGACACTTCATATAGCAACTCGATGTTACTTGTGCGATTCGACGAATTGAGTAGCTATAAATGTGTGCGCTTTGTATGCATGTTTCATACTGAAATCGAGAATCACTTTGCATGTGATACATTCGACTACAAAATCCAGAGAGCTCCTGTCCTTGATTCCAAGAGCACTACATAGCACATAAACGCGTATATCTCGCTCGATACTTAGGCGATCTAGGTGATCTACAGCTCGTTGGAAAGCTAACAGAGTGCTCTATTGTTTAGTTCAAATCCCAGTTCCTGTCAGCTAGAGGAGATTCCTCTATAACACACACAGGGCTACGGAGTGCACAATTGTGCACAAGATGTGCACATTGGTGCACATAAGAGATTCGTTCTCCTCTAAGGGGCAAACAAACCCCTTCACAGAGTCACCCACTCTACTGCATCAACGTAGCCGTTCATGACGGCACTCACGCCAGAGTCGATCAACTGCTGGCGGGTGGGAGCAGGCGCGTACATTCACGCAGGCAGAACGCGCCCGCGGCGACGGGGGGTGGTAGCCGCTGTGGTGGCGGCAGGTGCCTGCGCAGGAGCAGCTGCAGGGGACGCGGCAGGCTGGGGAGCGGGCGGCAGCGTCGTGTTCAGGTTCATCGCGGGGCTTGCGCGCTCCATGCGGTCGACGATGATGGGGTTCCGAAATTCAAAAAGCACGCAAAGGTTGCGCGGCGTGATGCCTGTGGCCCGTGTGTAGCCAATAAGCATCTCGCTCGCTGCCCGCACATAACGCCGTGCCTCGCGGCTCTCTGGATTGTCGTCGTCGTACACGGTCTGCATGGTGGTCGGCGCCTCCCACGACTCGTCCGAATACCCCGCCGCGGGCTCAAGGGCGAGCGGGTCCTCGCCCGGCTCGGCACACGTTGGCTGGTCGTCGTCGATGGCGACGAAAGCGACGGCCGGCATGGCGCTAGGCCCGAGGCCGAGGCCCGAGGACGGTGAGGATAACCGGGAATGCTTACCGGCGCCGTCATCCAGCCTTTAGCGTTGTGACGCCAGTAGCACAGCTCCTCAGAGTCGTAATCAGGCAGAAAGTCACGCGGCCGCTTAGCCTTGTGGATGACCAACGGACAGAATGCGTGGCTACCGTCCACATTCACGAGCAACCCGACGGCGAGGCGCTCCTTCGCCAACTTGCGCCCCGCCGCGCGCGCAGCTCCGTAGGTCTTGCGAGGTAAGACCGACAAATACAAGGCGGTCTTGTCGAAATTATACACATCGCGCGGACGGACGGAGAGGCACATCAAGAGTTGCAGGAGCTGCTCATGGCATGTACAAACCGCGGCGTGGTCCTCATCGGCGGCCTCCCTGACAGCGCTGCGGCACCGAATGCCGTTGCGCCGCATGGCACGGCGAACCCACCCAACGGAGCAGCGGAAGGTGTCGCAAAGGTCCATGCCGCGGGCGAAGGTTGCAACGTGGTTGCGAATCGTCATCAGGGTGAGGGGAACACCCGCGGGTCCGGCGTTGCGGTTCCGGCGCACCATAGCCTGCTCCAGCTGAGGGTATGCGCCGCCACGCACGCGGACGGTGTTGTCATTGGAAGTGACGGCGGTCCAATGGTCGGCTCCTTTGAGCACGCGGCCAACAATCGAGCGATCGGGACGAATGCCAAAACGGGTAAAGCACCACCGCGCCAGGTCGACCTGGCGCATGCGGGGGTTGCTGACATGCTGGGCACAGATTGCCCTCTTGATATGTACTGGAACCTGCGAGCGGCGAAATAGGCGAGGCATGTTTAGCTGCTTAACTAATGCACCAGTCTGTCTGACTGCCGATTTTGCTTGTCAGTTTATTCCCAACTCAAAGTGCTTGGCTGACTCAATGTCGAGTGGGTTTCTTCGCGGGGCCATAATGTGATGGGGCAACATTCATGCGAGTGAATGTTGCCCACATTTGCGCATGTAACACTCATTCGCGGAGTGAATGTTTCCATAATCGTGTTTGTTACTCGCACAGGTAACAAACACCACAGCGGGTGACGTGTGCATAACTGCACCCTGTGGACATTCTTGGGTTTATATCCAACCTCCGTAATGTACACGTGGCGAAGCTGGGGCGAGGTGTGTGCGTTTGCTGCACAATGAGCCGCATCGACGTGGCGTATAGTCACGGGCGAAATTGTGCACGACGTCAAAACCCCGTCCGCCACTTTTTTCGCGAAGCCTGTCCGTGGCCTAAAAACAGGAATACCCTGGGGCAACAGAAATTGTGCGCGACGTCATAGTCTCTTGTCACTATGCACATGCGTAGTTTTTGTCAAGTGGCCACCCACACACAAGTGGCACATGTGCTTATAAGCAGGGTGCAACTGCCCGAAAAAAAAAAACACGTGGGTAGACTTTCAATTATGGGCAGGGCAATTTCGCGCGCAGGGGTTGAGCATGGTGTGTAATGGAAATTTCAATCAAGAACCATATTCGCACTTTCATACATTTCTTCTTTTCAAAACTTTTATTACGTCATGACGACTCTAAAAATTATAATGATGAACAAGATTACTGAATAGTTGCCAAATACCTACTTCTAGGGGCCCATATCGCAAGCACATAGTTCTAGGGGCGTACAAGCCTAAAAGTGATAAGAGCCAACGATTGGAATCCCGTACATTATCAATAGAGCCAGCGGCAGTGGGAGGTGCGAGGGGCTTGTGGTACAGGTGGTGCTGGAGCACCAGGAGGCATAGGAGGCACAAGTGCAACCCATGATGTGTGCAAAGCGGGAAATTTTCCTTCTTATGTGTGACAGCTATTGGGGACCAAAGATGCTAACTTACCGCCTGAGATACAGTATTCGTTGAAGGAACCATCAACGTTAACACCTTTAGATACAGCCTGGCCAAGTCACTGGGGGAGGGTAGAGAAGGCAGAGACGGTAAAAACACTCTTCGGTCCAGGTGGCATGGTAAAGTCACTAGAGATTAACACCCTCAGATACAACCAGGCCAGGTCATTGGAAGGGGGGAGAAAAGGCGGAGATGCTAAAAAACACCTCCTTGGTCCAAGTGGCACGTGGGCTAGTTGAGGCACAGTATTTGTTGAAAGAGCCTGCGGACGTTAACACCCTCATATACAGACTTGCCAGGTCATTGGAAAAGGGGAGAGAAGGCGGAGACGGTAATACCACCTCATTGGTCCCAGTGGCATGCGGGCTAACTGCGGCAATATTCTTTGAAAGAGCCGGCACATCTTAGGTACAACCTGGCCTAGTTATTTGAAAAAGGGGAAGAAGGTGGAAAGGGAGAGGGAGAGAGGGTGGTGACAGCAGAGATAAGTATTGGTCATTCTTGTTTGAGAAGGCTTGGGTAGTGGAAAAGGTTTGGAAAGACTGATACAGTAGATGCGTACACTTGAAACAAATGGGCAAGAACGGGAAAGAGTAGCAAGCTCAAATGCTACATCCAAGCTTTTGACGCATCGCAGACCAAGCTTAGCACGAGTGCAAAACCAATCGCATTTGTTAGAATGTTATAGTGCTTACATTTGTGTAGGCTATAGTGGGGTAGCCCATAAGGGGTACAACCCAATTAGGGTTAGTACTTTTACCCAACTTCTGTTCAATGCATTCATTCTCGTTCGTTAGTTTGACATGGTATCAGAGCAGGTCCTTCGCTAGGACCATTTTTTCCTTGGGCCCACCACTGCGCTGCCCCACTAGCCGCCCCTAGCGACCCTCGTGCCGCACCTGCTGCCCAGCGCGCCACCCTCGTGCGGCTTGTCGCCCCTAGCCCGGCCCGTCGCCCCTAGGCCCATCGCCCCTAGGTCGGCCCATCGTCCCTAGCCCGGCCCGTAGGCCCGTCGCCCCTAGCCCGGCCCGTCGCCCCGGCCCTTCGCCCCTAGGCCCGTCGCTCCGGCCCGTCGCCCCTAGGCCCGTCGCCCCTAGGCCGGCCCGTCGCCCCTAGCCCGGCCCATAGGCCCATCGCCCCTAGCACGGCCCGTCGCCCCTAGGCCCGTCGCCCCGGCCCGTCACCCCTAGGCCCGTCGCCCCTAGGCCGGCCCGTCGCCCCTAGCCCGGCCCATAGGCCTGTCGCCCCTAGCACGGCCCGTCGCCCCTAGGCCCGTCGCCCCGGCCCGTCGCCCCTAGGCCCGTCGCCCTTAGGCCGGCCCATCGCCCCTAGCCCGGCCCGTCGCCCCTAGGCCCGTCGCCTCGGCCCGTCGCCCCGGCCCGTCGCCCCTAGGCCCGTCGCCCCTAGGCCGGCCCGTCGCCCCTAGCCCGGCCCGTAGGCCCGTCGCCCCTAGCCCGGCCCGTCGCCCCTAGGCCCGTCGCCCCTAGGTCGGCCCGTCGCCCCTAGCCCGGCCCATCGCCCCTATGCCCCTAGCCCCGGCCCGTCGCCCCTAGGCCCGTCGCCCCGGCCCGTCACCCCTAGGCCCGTCGCCCCGGCCCGTCGCCCCTAGGCCCGTCGCCCCAGCCTGTCGCCCCTAGGTCAGTCGCCCCGGCCCATCTTCCGACGCCCCTAGGCCCACGACCGACGACCCTAGGCCCCGGCCCCGTCGATCCAACGCCCCTAGGCCCCGGCCCGACGCCAGTCGCCCCTAGGCCCGTCGCCCCTAGGCCCCGGCCCCGGCCCGTCGCCCGTCGCCCGAAGCCCAGCGCCCGTCGCCCCTAGGCCCTGGCCCAAAAGTCGACCCCAGGCCCCGCGAGCCGCCCCTTGCGGCCCGCCCCTCGACCCTGCAGCCCACGAGCCTCCCTTGCAGCCCCGCGCATCGCCCCTGGTGACCCTCTCGCTGCCCCTACTGCTCTGCAAGCCGCCCCTTGCGGCCCTCTCACTGCCCCTTGCTGCTACCTACCCTATGCTCTGCGCTGCCCTGCTTCTCCTTGCTCTGCGTGCTGCGCCACTATGGCTTCTCTCCGCGTGCTAGGGTTCGATCATGAGGGAGACCCCCTACAGTTTGACACATGGCTCGACGACCTGCATCTGTACCTACTGAGCGACTCTAGGGACAGTGTTTCGTTGTTTGACCACACGTCTGGCGCCGCTCCCGCCCCTCCCGCCACCGCTGACAGTGCAACCCGCTCACAGTGGCTTACTCGCGACGCTGCTGCCCGCTTAGCCATTCGTAACCACCTGCCGTTGGCCGAATGCGCTCACTTCGGACAACACAGGACAGCACAGGCACTGTGCGACGCTGTCGACGATCGCTACTCCTCACCTGCCACTGCTGCTCTAGGCCGCCTCCTACTGCCCTACCTGTTCCCCGAGCTGTCCGCCTTTGCCACAGTAGAGGACCTGGTTTCCCACCTTCGCACTAGCGACGCTCGCTACCGCGCTGCCGCCCCAGCTGATTTCTTTGATAGGAACCAGCCCCCGATGTTCATCACTCTCTACGTTATAGTCACCCGCCTCCTTGACTCTCTTCGCTCTGTCAGGGACCACTTTCTCTCCCTCGACCCAACAGTCCTCACTATTGACCTACTCGAGCAGCACCTCCTTGCAGCTGAGACTAGTGTAGTCCCTGTAGGTGCTGCTCGTGGCACTCCGCGCACACCCTTCTTTGAGGGGTGCTCCCCCTCCCAACTTGCCCCCTCCTACGCCTTTGCTGCTGCTGTCGACGTCCCTAGTGCTGAGGACGTCGGGGCTGCTTCTGCTAGTGCGAAGCGCCGCAGTAGCAAGGGCAAGGGTGGCAGGGGTGGTGGCGGTGGCAGCGGGAGTGGTGGTGGGGGTAGCAGTGGAGGTGGTGGAGGCAGTGGAGGTGGTGGCAGCGGTGGGAGTGGTGGTGGGAGTGGGGGATTTGGTAGCGGCGGTGGAGGCAGTGGTGGGAGTGGCGGTAGTGGCAGCGGTGGGAGTGGTGGCGTTAGGACTGGAGCTTAGCGTGGAGGTTTTTGAGGAGGCCAGCGGCAGCGGCAGCAGCGTTGGAGTGAGACCCCGTCGCCCTAGCAGCTTCGTGAGTGGTTGTTTCAGCGTGGGGCGTCTCGGGGTAGTGTGAGCTGCCCGTATGTCATTCGCACGGGTGACCATGCTAGTTAGACATGCGGGAAGCCTCACACTCAGCACCGCTGCTTCTCCCGCCTCGACAACGCTTGGCGCGCTGAATTTGGTGACGAGTTCGAGCGCCCCCACTGGGCAGAGCTGCTTAGGTCTGGAGTCGCGATCTTTGACCTAGACTATGATGCTATCATTTTTGCAATGTATGCTTTGTCTGCTAGTGCTGAAGGTGACTGTTACCGGTGTGTGCCGCCTGACCCAGGTATAGAGGATGCTGCTCTAGGTGCTAGTGAGTCTGGTACTCTCCCTGATACTGCGCCTGCTAAGGCCTTGCACACCTTCACGCTGGACTTAGGTGCCTCACGCTGTTTCTTTCGTGACAGCACCACCCTCACTCCTCTCCCTGCACCTGTCCCGGTCAGACTGGCTGACCCCTCTGGGGGCCCAGTCGTTGCCCGTTCCTCTACTGTTCTCCCGTGTCCGGCGGTTCTGTCCGGCTCACTGTCAGGCCTTCACCTCCCCTCGTTCTCTACGAACTTGGTGAGTACCGCTGCCCTCCAGGATTCGATAATCACTACCACCACTCCTGGGGGTCAGCGTGTGTCGATCTGCACGTGCACACGGACGGGTTGTCAGCTAGCCACGTTCACTCGTCGGCCAAGGTCGAGTCTGTACACACTGGCTACTGGGCCTCCTCAGGTAGCTGCGTCTGCCCAGGTATCCGCGTCAGGT